GCATTCACAACTAATTCGTCCAGGTTTCATGTGCTATGTACAGCTCAGCATGCTTTCTTCAAGCACATACTTTTTTTGAACAGTGCAATTCTGTGCAGACTCAACTGCTGTCCTTGTAGCTCTCAGTTTCTCTCCCCCTCACTTTTCTTAAAAGTTGAGGAGTAGTTAGCTATTAAATTAGTCCCACCATTTATAAAGGGGTTTGCTCACATTTCTTAAGATCTAGTCAGGGTGGTATAGGCTATTGTATTAAATACAGTTTTAAGTTTGCTTGGTCTAATGTCAAGATTCCACTGTGTAGTAATAATCAATATTAGAATAAGAAGACACAGAAGAGATATATTTTCCTTTATTGTTTATTATAATACAAGAAAAACAAATCTAGAAAGCACATTTCATGGAGCACCATATCGTAACAAAATTTTGCTGGCTCTCCTACAAAGTGTATTTTTGACATTTAAACAATGACACACACATAGTCAGTACACACAGGCATCTACACCCCGGCGATCTTATTAACGGCCCCAAAGAGTCCCCTCTTTCAAATACAGAAACACTAAGGTGCACAGAGGAATGCAAGTGTGAGGGCATCTGAACGCCAACTGAGTTAATTACTCTTTTGTTAGCGATCTTCATAAGCACACAAGCCTTCATTGTCTCACCCCAATCTCTCTTCTCTGAAGCCTCTAAATTGGGCCCAAAGGTCACTGAATATGGATCCGGCACAGACATGGTGTAGAGTTGAACAAAACTGGCCAATATTCCCTACCTGATACCTCTTATTGCTTTGGTTATAGTACTGAATGAAAGTCTTAAAAACTCTTAAACCTACACTCCACATCACAGAAAAGCCACTTTCATACATACCTCCCCACACACACCTGAACGCATAGCACTGATATCTTTTTGAGAAGCTTTGTGGGTTTCCCCACCAAGATCACCTTCATAAAAATGATTGCGTTTTGTTTCTCAAAGTGTTCAGACAGTTGTTCAACAATATATTCCACAATATATTTCTTTCTTTTTAATAGATAGGGCATGTTTTCCTGCTGCCTTAAATTTATGTCATTGTCTACACAAGCAAGAGCAAAATGCTATCATTTTCATCTGTACAAAATGTTTTACATTCATTTTATACAGTGCTAAATAATGATGCTAAGCACGGAACAACGTAGAATGATAGCCCAGAATAGCTTTTTACCTTGCTCAAAATGAAAAAGTACTGGAAGTTTCCCGTACTAATGTTGAGAGAAAGGATTGGGGTCTCTATTATACACAGTAGCCTTCCAGAATACTTTCAGGCACCTATTTTGTGAGCTATTGCTCAATATGTATGTCACACTGAAGCACCTCAAGTAATATGGTTTAGTCCTCTCAAACAGTGAGAATAAGAGACAAAAGCAAATCCAGCCTCACAGCAGACTAGACCAACTGTGAAGGACGATGCTAGCAAGGTAGCAAAATTTCTACCTGGACCCAAAACAAACCACTGTTACAATAATGTGGGGTATCTGACATACGGCCACTTCTGTCACAGAATGAGGACAATGCTTGAAGTTTAATTTAAAACCCTTTCTATAAAATGTTTTAATTTTGTCAACAAAAAAAATGAAGAGCTTGTATTTCTATCAGCTGCTTACAAAAGATATTTTTTCCTCTAAGCCCATTTCTCTTTGAAATACTTCCTCTGTTTTCTGGGGAAATTTAAGGATTTGCAAAATGTATTTCTGTCTTGATAATCAGTGAGGCTGAACTATCTTGTAAGTTTTGGGCAGGGTAATGCATTCATGTTGCCAAGAAAGAAATGAAGTTATTGTGTATTTTTTCTTGTGGAAAATCCATGTGGATTTCCCATTTACAGTAGCCAATTTTATAATTCCTTTATACTATGTGATGAACAGGCATCTATGAATAACAAGATGAAATAATGGAAATTCAAAAGGAGAAAATGGACTTGAAAAATAACTGTAACTTCAGATATGCAAAGGGGTATTAACCAACTGAATTACTAACTCAGACTCTCTCCTCCGAGCTAAAGGTATGTTTCAACAGCTGTGCTAAACATTTGGCTAGCATTTCCTGGATAAACAGTTCAGACTTCAACTGTATGATGGGGAAAAGAAGAGAGAAGGAAAAGACTTACTAGTTGAAGTTTTACAAAGGTTATGGAGTTGCTATGGTTTAATAAAGTTTCAGATGGCTGAAGAATAGCATATAATAAGGAAAAGATGATGTGCTGGGTATATCAATACATATTTTCACTTGGAGTAATGTCTACAGCTTTACTCACCTGAGTAAAAGGACAGTGTAGCAAAAACAGAAGAGATTCAGAGACAGGCAAAGAATATGGACCTGTGTAAGAATGTGAATTATTGGTATGTAAATTTCTATATAGAGTATATAATCACTGACATACAGAAGAAAAATTGGGGTCACTCCTGTTTATACTGTTTATACTGTTTTAGCATACAAGAGCAAGAAATGAGAAAGACATTGAAAAGCAGCCAATTTAAATCTGAAAAAAAAATCTGGTTTTATTTGTTTTTCTTTGTTCTTAAACATGATTTTTTTTTATTTTAGTATTCCCCACCTCAAGAAATATTTAGATCTCAAAAATCAGGATCAGCCTCTCACAGAGATGATGAGACATCAACAATCACATTAGACAAGACAAAAATAATAAGGGCTGAAGCTAATGAAAATTCCAGAAGAAATTATTGCACCTTCCCCTGAAGCATCTGATACAGTCAGAGGTAGGACACTGGACTAAATAGACCACGTAGTTTGGCTACGTTACTGTTCCTATGATATTAGATTTAAAAATTTCAGTTATATATCCCAGTTAGTCATGAAAATGTTTAACAATCTTCCACACTGAGCAATGAGTTACAGTAACGTTAATGAATGGGAGGACAGAATAATTATTATTACTGGTCTTAGACACTACGTATGTGTGCATGCATATGTATATACATACATAAAAATATATGATATACATCTATATGCATACATAAATGCATACATACACACACACAGACACACAGAGACACATGCCTTCTGAGAAGTGGGGCTCACCAGAAGGTTTGAAGGCCATTCTTTATACCCTTCTCCGATACACACTACCAAACTGTGTGTGTGTGTGTGTACATGTTTAACAGTGTGTGGAGGAAAATGTGAGAAGGAAGGGAAGCATGAACCTGAATATGGGAGAAATCAGTCATGTTACTGTAATTATTTCAGATCTGTGCTTGAAAATACATTTCCAAATGCCTTGTACATTGGCTAAGTTGACCATCAGCCAAGCAAGAAGAAATACACAATATTAAAGGGAAATTGTGAAAATGAAAAAAATTATGTATGTATTTTCTGTTCTTTCCTGTGCTAGTATTAATCATCATATTCCTGACAACTGGCAGGATGAGAAATTAAAAGAACTAATTTGATTTTTGCCACTTACCCTGTTTATATGTTTCATGTTTCTGCCAAAGTCGAGAGAAAACTCGGGTAGTCCATCTCCCTATGGGTTTTCATTTATCAGCTCTAATGGGTTAGCTCATTGTAAACTTACCTTTTCATCAGGCTTGGTTAAATAATTTTAGTTTTAGAAATACCTAAACTTAATGTATACTCTAAGTTGACAGTATCTCTTTAAACATAATTAATAATTCCTCAGACCCATTCGTACAAAAATTCTGCCATCTTTTACACTGATTCACATTAATTCACACTATTTGTCCTCCCTGTTTCTCTGGGAAGGCTTTTGAGAACACGAGTGAAACAAACAGACTATCACCTCATCTGATAGCAGAGCTGCAGCTAACCAATTCTGAGGCTGCAAACAACTTAACTTCCAGACAAACTAACGTAGCTATGAACTAGTTGCAGGTATCTAAGACAGCAAAAATCAGCATGACTACATTTAACAGGGTAAATGACAGGATAGGTTTCCATTTCAATGAGGTAAAGTTGTGTATAAGTTCCCCCATCCCCAAAATACATCTGTAAGGTCATTATCTCAAATAAAAATAAAGAGAGAAATAAGTTATTCTTTAAAAAGCTGAAAATGAAATTACCTTCAAGCCTATTGCTAGACAGAAAGAGATCAAGGCGGGTAAGGAAACAGAGGAGAACCAGAGAATATTGATAAATGTGTGTTGTCAGCTCTGAGAACTGAGGGTTGGTTGGCATCAGCTGAGTTTTGTCTCGTGATGCACATTCTAGATGGTTCTCGCTGTTTTGTTACAAATAGTCCAGGTTTTTTAGTTTTCAAATTGTAATGGGCTTATTTGATCACCTTTGTCTTTCTGGACCAACTCCATAGATTTTAACATCTTTCTCAGCAGGCACAGGCCTGCATACTGGATACAAACATATAGATAGAATTACATAGTTAATATGGTGTGCAGGGGCATCCATAGAGAGTACAAATACCAGCATACAATGTTTCATCTTGAGCTGAGCAACCAGTCTGCCTGCAGGATGCATTGCATGGTGGTTCCTGTAGTCTCCGAACAATAAAATCTCTGGAGAGAGGACAATTGCCACACTTCACTGCATTTCTATGCAAAGTAATTGCAAGCCCCTTGGCTCCTCCCAGGTCGCTTGCATTGGCCACAATGGAGGCGTAAAGAAGCGTTTCTGATGAAATGCACGGCATTGCCTTTCCGTGGATTGCCTTCCAAGCAGCAACGCTTTCTGGCTCACCCCAGGGCCAACACTTCATGAGACGGGTTCCTGGGAGACAGGTCTTATCTCACCACTCTTCCTGCTCGTCAGCAGCACCTTTTCGCAGAAGCCTCTTCACCTCTTCTGTCCTGTAGCGAGCGCAGGAGTGGGATTTTTTTCATACAATAATGTTTCTGTGGAGTTAGTTTTTTGTTTTATTTTCTTTTCCTAGTTCATGTTCATTTGACCTTGTTATCAAATGTGTTCTCCTGCAATCATCTGAAAGGCCTTTTTCAAACCAGCATATGTTTTCTTTTTTTCCCTTTTACATCACTTTAAAGGGACACATCCGTTGATATAGCTTCTGTAGAGAATGGATTTCATCTTTTGCTGAAGTTTTGTTCCAGCCAAAGCCGAACCTCCTGCAGATTGTAGAAAAAGGGGCCTTTGCCTCCCAGGTAGGCGATTTTTTGCCTCTGCACAATGCATACTCGCTCAAATGAAACCCCGTAGGCCACATTGGCATTGTTGTCCATGCAGTCAGCCACCACTTGGCACTGAGGTGGCAAGGAAAAGCGCTCTAGGAGCTGGTGAGCAGCTGCGCATCGGTCTTCCTGGTTCCTGTGTTTCTTAACTTCAAATGAAGAGGGAGAGATTCCAGGGGCAGCCCAGCCATCTGATGGGTGAGCCTCATCGATGTAGACCAACAGAAAGTCAGCCACACCAGAGAACTCCTCCACCAGCTTGCTGAAGGCCGATAACTGGCTTGTGAACGGTGGTCAGGTAGCTGAACCAAAATTGACCACCAGCGGCCGCTCGGAGTTGGCAAAATCCAGAAGGTGGCATTTGGTTCCACACTTGCCACCGACACTCTTCCAGCTGCTACTGCTGCCATCACTGCCCTTGGCTATGTGGATTACACTGGAGTTTGGGGCTTCTCCTCCCAGTTTGACCTGACGGCAAAACAAATCAAAACATAGCAAGTTAGTGCGACTTGCTTGTCCAGTATCCTTATGAATACTCTCTTCAAATAAATAAAGTCATTTGTTCAAAGAGTACACCTAACTACCTGCATGGACACTAGCATGGGAATATAGCAAATGATCAAAAGCAGCAGCTTCAAAAAAGTTCATCTAGTCCATCTCCACTCACAGTGCAGAGAAACGTGGCATCCCTGACAGGTATACTACTTCATCATTGTTAGAAAGTTTGATCTGAGATCTGTCTTGTCCTGTCCACTACACACATAGTCCTGTCCACCCTTATGTATTTGCAGAGTCTTATTTGCTTTCAGACAGACTACCTCCAGTTTCTTCTAATTTCTTCTTTTCTCTGTGAGCCAAATTTTCTAGCCATGATTTTTTTTCTCTGCCATCCTCTGAGTTCTCTCCATTTGGTTCACATCTTACTTGAAGAGCAGTGTTCAAAACTTCAAAAGAGTTTTTACTAATTCTCAGAATAATCAGACAATTACTTCATGTATCTCACAGGCTACACCTGTTTATACATTCCAGATGTTTGCTTTTTATGAAACATCATGACTGTTTTGGAAAAACAGACTGTTGACTAAGGGTTAGCTAGTGAGAAGTTATAATGCCTAGGTCCCTTTTTCTGCCTTTCTAGTTGCTCCCCATCATGGATTTGGATACTGCAGTCCAGCCTGAATTCGGTGCTTTGCACTTGGCCCCATTGAACTGCATCCTACATTTCAAGCCATTTTTCCAACTCTCCAAAATCATTCTGCATTGTATTCCCCATTTTCACAACACATGCAGTGCCTCTCAATTTTGAGAGGTTTGCACTTTCGATACGTGTATCTTCTCTTCCATCCATCCCTTCCATTCCATCCAAGAATGAAAATACTCAGATTACCAAACACAAGAGACGCCCACTCTTATATCATTCTGTTTTGACAGTGGACCATCCAAGACTGCGCTCTCCAAAGGGTTTTCTAACCACTTTGCAGTAATTTCATCAGTGATTGAGTGACACATTTCGTTCTACTGCAGTGTTTCTCTAGAAGATGATTGGGGAAAAAGCAGCAGGAAACTGGGAAAGTTTGTACGATGGTTGAAGTAAGATGAAGTGAAAACGAACTGTTCTGAGCTCTAACCCCAGATCTAACTCAGACCCAACAGGTAATTGTCATTTTGCCTGACCGTTTCTATTTCCCTGCCTAGAGAAAAAAGACAGAATTAAGCATCTCACAGAAGCGACTGCCAGAATAAGGTGGAGCCTGCAGAGGGCTCCAAGATCCTTAGCTGATAACTGCTATAGAACCACAAAACGTTATTACATAAGACAATTAGTTTTTAATGAGCTCTGCCACAGCAATTCCTATGTATCTGCCTTTAACATCAAGCTCTAGTACAACAATGCAATTATCCTTTTGTATTTCCCCAAGTCTTTTTATCTCTCTGTCTTCTGTCTATTTGATTATGTTCAGAAGTGTTGCTTTGAAGGAAACATACAGGGCTAAATTCTTTCATATTCTTTCATACTTTATTTATTTATTTCTGAAGCACACTCCAGCTGAAGTCAATAGAACTTAATGCTGAATGAGAACTGTGTAAAAACTGAATAAATAACTGATTTTTGGTGCACTTCTAGTCCACATTAAATTATAGGGTATCCCGGTGAGTCAGATACAGTAAGAAGCTGAGTTAACAGCTGAATACTTTACTGATGTGATTGCTGCTGCACACAGATCCAGAGGCAAGTATATTGTAGATACTGGATCCTCCATTTCTCCCTGAGAAACCTGACTACCTTGAACAAATCTACAGTTATTCATGACTCAGCATTATTTCATCAGAATAGCAATAGAAGCAAGAGTCTCACCAAACCAAAGTTTGTAAGACACTGCCCTTAAAGCTGCCAGACTTCACAGCTGTATGAGAAGGTCTCACAGCATGTTGGTACAAGATAGAAAACATTTTGACTATTTTCTATGGGGCAAATTGAGACACAACTTTGCCACCGTTCACTCAGTGATCAGCAAGGAAGAGAGCCACAGAAAGTAAGACTGCTCGAGACCCACAAATCTCTCCAGGCCAGGCACGTGGTGATCAGGCCACTGGAAGCAGGGGATGTGCAGCTGCAGCTGCACCACACGCAAGGGAAGCAAGTGATGCCCCAGGAAAGTACAGCCCCTTGTGGCCCCCCTCCCTGTAAACCTGCATCTGCAGCGTTGCTATTTGCTAGAGCCCTGGTAACAGTTCAAAAAAAAGCCTTGTGCTCATTTGCCTTTGAAAGCAAGTGAGGTTTGAAATAGCAGAGTTTAGGACCTGCTGTGTGAGTGGGATATCCGTTGAACTCAAGGAAGGAAAAGAGCTGTATCCTAGTTTTTGAGAAGAAAGGATCTATCTGGAGAGAGGCAGGCTCAGAGACTCAGGCTGTAGCATTTAAGAAGAAGCATTAAGCATCTTGCAGTGTTTAAGAAGTGCTGCTACAGGCCACCTACACCTTAGCAGGTAGTAGGTACTCTTCTGTGCAGCTGTTGAACATCTCGCTTCTCTCTGCCATTCTGTGCAGTAAGATAGGCAAAGCTGGAGTGAATAAGGTAAAGGGCCAGACTTGAGCAAAGAAATACACAGGTCAAGATCATGTGGCGGCCATATAATCATCCTGAGGGCTGCATTCAATCCTTAAGCCAGCTAGACAACTCAGCATTTTGTGGTAAGTCGGTAACTATCAAAAAAGTGCACATCTCAAGAAACACGTCTGCATATCTGCACAAACACTAGATCCCTCTTTACCTAGAAAGCTTAACTGTTCTTGCACTACCAAGCAAATGCTTTTTCAGAGCTAGCTTGCCCAAAATGTGCCTTTTGGGCAAAGCCTGACATGTAAGTATCTGGGCTGCACCCACTCCCTGGATGAATAATGGACCTCAGTATTTAGGAGTGTGCACTCATCCAATCAAAGAAAAGAAGTAATAACATTAAGCAACACACTTTGAATTCCCCTCACTCTTCTGGTCTTATTTTAACAAAACTATTATGACTGAAAATACTCTAACCAACACTCTTGAACTGGGAAACCACAGACTGCTTCTTGATCATATTTAAGCAGAAGGAGAGGCTACATACTGTAAGCTCCTCATTACCAACTCTTCACTCAGATCTACCAAATGCTTCTTTTCCTAGGCGAGTTTGCAAACCCTGAAGGAATAGACTAACAAAACAACTCCCATCGAACACCAGCATAGGAATGCTCTTCAAGTACTATTTAACATTGATACCAAGGGTGGCAATGTATTTCATTGTTCTCCAACAATGAGAGTTTGCATTCTGTCTCTCATACTCCTTATTGACCAAAAAATAGATGGATTTAGGAAATAAAGTGCAAATATGCCCTACGTCATCTTATAGCAGTTTCTCTTCACTTCCCACAGCCACGAAGTAAGTCTCATGGCCGCTGGTTACCTATCATTTTAATTTTTGTTTCTAGGAGTGCTTGTGTTGGGTTTTTTCCACTTAATGAGACATCCTTGCCAAGCAGGCATTCACGAGGCATTTTCTGCTCTTGTGGAAGAGTAATTAGGTCGGTGCCTTGTTCCATGCCAGTGTCAGGCACTCCAAAAAGCAGCCCTGCCCAGTCGTTAATGCTTAAACATAAGCAGCGGCATCTCCACTAATTGGTCTTGATGAAGCGCTGATGTTCCCAAAGGGACTCTTTATTTCACCAGGCTCGGGAACCGATTGACACAGGATGACAATATCATCCTTGCTGATCATCTGCATTGTAGGCCTTGGCTGTCTTCTTTGTTGTTATTTATTGAAAGAAAAAATAGCTCTTGGAAAAGAAAATCAATGCAATGAGAAAACAAACAAAAACCCCCATGTATTCAGCCAAACCGCTTTTGAAATCTTACACAAAGGCAGGCAAAATATAAATTCTGAGAAACAAACTAGCAGAATTCCCCTCACACGCGATCCAGCATTTCTATAATCACGTACTTATGTGCGTGAATATTCGGGCATTTGGCATCAGCTTTCTGGATGAGGTGGAAACCAGGCAGTGCGCAGGCACCCCCTCTCACGCAGCCTGCATGGGACACACAAGGTAGGCCAACCAAATCTGAGAGCCAGCCTGGCCATCAGCAAGGGCAAGCACCAGCCCGACACCAATGCAGTGACTTGCATCATTTGTGCGAATTTTGTGTTTGCTTGACAGCCTTGGTACTGCATCTCCTTCTCTGAGTTTGCATGCAGAGTGAAAAGGAACATGGTTGCTGATGCTTTAGCACGCAGACTGCAAAATGAAGGAGACTTGGGAGCAGGAAAGAAAGCCCTATTCATAAACGTCAGGCTAGAAATAGCACATACTGCTAACTTTGTTGTACATTCTCCATGAGAACTAGGAAAAGCCCCACGGACAAAACATCGCCTCCTCATTTACCTTTTCTTCTTTCTCGTTTTGCTTTTATCAGCTTTAGCATAACCCTCCTGGGATTCTGTGCATTGGAATATGGTTTTCATTCCCTGCGTGAGGGATTTTCAAACAGTTTGGCAGACTCATCAGGCTGTGTCAACCCCCTAAAGAAAATAGGTGTTGCCAGACAATTAGCAGTCTGTGATATTAGCCATTTAAATACGGACATGCTGTGTTTGGGACTGGAGTCCAGCAACTGGTAATGAACCGAATCCCTGAAGCTTTTTGCTCCTTTTCAAATTCTCTGCTTTGATTTGATTTGATCCCATTCAGCTAAATATAGCCTCTGAACAGCCCGAAATTTCTCAGTGCTTCATCCAAATTATAATCAGACTCTGGCTGGAGAATTATACAAATTATTATTTTTGTTTTCTTCATTTACATGATCCAGGGTTGTGCAGTGGATAAAAATTACAGGAGGCCCTTGTCTGGAGTAGCATTCGGGAGTGGGAGCTCTTCGTTTGTCATGGGGAGGTGGCAGCTTGCTTTAAGAGACTCGATTACTCGAATTGGAGCA